ATTAACTTCGGTGTTACTACCTCGGAGACGGGAGACGGTAAAGAGGCCGTAACCTGCCCTTGCTCGGTAGATCGTGTCCTCGGATATAAGGTTCAACTGTGTGCTTTTCCACCATTCGTTCAGCTAGAATCGAGAATTGCTCCGTTGGTTCATGGTTCCTCGTCCGATTTGTCCATGCTGGCTGTGTGATCTTCGTTCGGTATTTCCTTGCACTAATGTTACTGTACCAAATGAATCTTGGTAGTCCGCGACGTCCCAATAACTGCTGATCAGGACAATCTCCAAGAGATTATCGCACTTGTCAGATCGTAGGTCGGTCTTGGTACCGCTAGATGTCTTCCGCAAATGCCAACGAACACCGGTGCAAATACGACTTCTCGCGCATACTGAGTCCACAGATATGAAAAAAGACTAATGCGGTGGGGGTAGCTTGCTCGGGTCTAGTCCTTGGTGACGGCAGAATTGACCGTGTACTGGTTTATTTTCAACCGGCTATCGCGCTCCTATCTATTGGCTTATTAGGCTAGTGTGTGCCCCGTTTGTAGAAGTGTGTATGTGTGTGTACGACGTCGCGTCCTACATACGTATTTATTAATACATAGTAATTTAAAGAGATAATGCATACAAAGGTGGGAGGCTCTGGGGAGCCGAAGCTCCCCAGAATAGGAGTATAAGTTAAACAAAAATAATTCGCAGTGGTGGATGGGTAGAGGCGATGAGAAGTGCTGTTAAACCCCAGGGGACAAAGATCGAAAGTTCAGTGAGGTAGGGTGGCCAAAGTTTGAACCAGGGACAGGGGTATTGCGTCATAGTAGCGCAGTTGTTCTTTAACCTACTTTTAACAAAAAAAAGCATTAATCATTATTTGATCTATTACGCAACGCGGCAATGGGACTCTTATCCGATGGTATGGGCCACACTCACCTCCACCACGAGCGGAGGCGGGGGAAAGGGGGGGGGGGATTGCTTTTGGCTAATGGGCAGTATTCCCTTCTGCAATCAGGAAGCGGTAAAGTAAGCACCAGTTATTTTCCAGGTACGATCTTCGAAAAAGGATAAGAGATTCCGAGCGTTTTGCTTAGTGCGGCCTATCGGTCACTGGGAGTTTTTAATTGGTTTTTCACGTGTAATGCATTTTTTGCTTACTTTTGAGAACTCATTGAATGATAGGATGTTCTAAAATAATGATATTGTAACTTTGTATCGTCTTCGAGGTGCCAAAAGAGTATTCCTTTGGGGGTCATCATGCTTGTCACCTCCTAACCAAGAGACCTAGCTTATCGTTTTGTTCCGCTGTGAGGTATTTTGTGTGTGGTTGCAGCCGGCACTGGCCTACATGGACCTTTCAAAATGCACGGACAAGAAAATCGGACATGCATCGCACGAGATTTGCTCACGCCCAAATGCGTTTACCGTGGATTTGCTGGTACCGTCATCGCCGTCGCTTATTGAGAAGAAACGGTCAGTTTTTGAGCTGGGAGCTCTTCACTTCTTAAGGCAAAAGGGTAAAAACAGCGGGCTTCTGTTGAAAGTAAAAACAGCTGGCTGCTTCTGGCCGCTTTTTTTTTTACATATTACATGACATAAAATTGAGTTTGTTTAGTGTTTTGCTATCGGCGGACACCAAGGAGCTATGCAATGCCTGGCTGAACGCACTGAACGAGACACTGGAGGTGCTTCGTGGCTGACTGGCACCGTGCAGGCCTCCACGCGGAATTTGGAAACAAGATCTGTCACACAATCATAACTCTGTGCATTAAAGTTTTCGTGACAACTACTAGAACTCACCTCGGCTCGGCCACACAATGTGCACTCATTTTAAGGTCCGGCTTCAAGCTAAGAAAGCACTGTTGCCTTTTTTTTGTCTAGGTGGGATTCTAGGTGCCACACTTCCTCTCACTATTGGGTTTCACACCCTGAACATAAAAAGCCCTGACTGGGATCCTTCCTTTGTAGGTCCTAGCCTATTTCCAGTTCTTGCCTCCAGACGCGATCTCAGCTCCTTTTGTTCGTTCGCTCCTTCACGACTCTCGAGACCTAAATCTCCACGTTCCTCTTCCCCCTTCCCCATCTCCTCCTGCCCCGCCTCCACAGCCCTCTTTTTTTCCATCCTTAATCACGGCAACTTCTCGGCCTGGTCGGACCAAGTCATGTTTTAGTAGTTGCTGTTTTCGTAGTTTTCATGTTGTTCAGCGTTTTTTTTTTCTTGGTTTCGCATTTTAACATTTGTTATGGCGATGTGGAATGCGCTTCAGCCCCAT